TGGAGGTATTTGGAGTAGTTTCAACAAAAACTTCCAAAACACGCCATTTATAACACCATTCATAGCACTGACGGCTTCGATGTTCTCATCTATTTGCGGGAAATGGTCGACAGGGAAAACCCTACGTAATAACCGCACACCCTGTTAACAACAGATTTTCCGCAGTATATATTTCAAGCTAGTGAGGTTTAAAAATACACGTAGAATCTATCGATTAACTACCATAAGTTGGTTGAGTGTTGAGTGTTGGCGGTAAAAAAAGGAGATATAACTTCCTGATCAATTTTCACTTAGGTTGATTCAGTTTTGAATAAGCTTTGCAGAGATGTATTTTTTCAAGAAATATTTAGCTTTAATATTATCCGACGCCGTCAGTAATGAAATGGGATTAATTTTCTGAAACGTGATTTTATTCGAGATTTGCTTCTGAAGAAGACAACCTTCTGTCCGTAGAGCATGAATGTTAATACTCATCACAAGACAGTATCTTATTGATCTCAATTATGGTACATCTAAACGTGTATAATTTTTATGTTCAATAAAAATGTTGCATCACGTGCAGTTGTTATTATCATTCAATAATATTAAATGACATAAAATATTTATGATGAACAGTCCTAGAATATTTTGATAAGGAACCGTCAGTTGTAAAATGTTATTGTTATCTGATAATGAACAGTCGTCATACTTGCTGGTATGTCATTTATTATTGACAGTTTAGGTTTTTCAAAATTTGCATGATTAACAGTCCGAATGTAGACCTTAATTAAATGTTCTGGAATATTAACAAAATGAATAGTCAACCTCATTAACCATATATATGAATGGTTGAACACAACAGTAAGGATAAATAGCGCAATGTGCATATCTTTTTATTTTGGTAGCATATTTTAAGCAAAAAGAAAAGAAACTATAAGTCTGAAACATTCTCTCATAGCCTCCCCATCAGTACATTCAGTGCTTTGATTTTAACAAAATTTTTGATTCGGGAATACTACCTGATTGTTGGCTAATCGGTACTATCGTCCCGTTATATAAAAAGAAAGGTTCGTCACGTGACCCTATGAATTATAGGCCAATAACTTTACTTAGTTGCTTAGGTAAAATTTTTACGGCGGTATTAAATGAAAGAATAAATAAGTATTTAACCAGCAATAACATTTTAAACGAGAACCAAGCCGGATTTAGGCAAAAGTATTCAACAACCGATCATGTGTTCACCTTAAAATTTCTCATTGATAAACTTAAAGCAAAAAAGAAAAAACTGTTTTGTTCATTTATTGATTTTTCAGCCGCTTTTGATAAAATATGGCGTATAGGCCTCTGGGGAAAATTGCTTAAAACGGGTATTAATGGCAAACTATTACAAATTATATATAATATGTACCAGGACATTAAATCTTGTGTATCTATTAACAATAGTATTTCTCCATTTTTCAAGAGTTACTGTGGGGTCCGTCAAGGGGAAAATTTGTCCCCAATTTTATTTTCTATATACCTTAATGACCTAGAAGAACATTTGTCTCGCAATAATCAAGGCATTGATATTGAAAACATTGACGACAATGTCCTTACATATTTAAAATTGTTTGTATTATTATATGCCGACGACACTGTCATTATAAGTGAAAACGAATCTGTTTTTTCAAAATTTAATTAATGATTTTAATCTGTACTGTTTAGAATGGAAAATGACCGTGAATATTTTCTAAAACTAAGATTATTGTGTTTGGAACTAATAAACCAGAAAACTTTAAAATTTTATTTAGGAGGTTTAAATATTGAAATAGTTAAAGATTATAAGTATTTAGGTATTCTCTTTTCTTCATCGGGTAGTTTTCTAAATGCCCGTAAACTGATTGCAAGTCAGGCAAATAAAGCAATGCACCTTCTGTATACGCGAATCTTCAATTTGGATTTGCCACTTGATATTCAATTAAAACTATTCGATCAAACGATTCTTCCAATATTGACATATAATTGCGAGGTCTGGGGTCACGAAAATCTAGACATGATTGAAAGAATACATACCGATTTCCTTAGAAAAATTACTAAAAGTAAAAAGAGCACCCCACTTTACATGTTATATGGTGAACTTGGACGATATCCACTTGAAATTGTAATCAAATCGAGAATGATTCATTTTTGGAGTAAACTATTATCAAGTAATACAACGAAAATATCTCACATCTGTTATAATCATATGCTGAACTCTACTGTTAACTACAAGTGGTTAAACCACATAAAAAACATATTAAACCAAACGGGCCATACATATATTTGGACATATCAAAACTCGCTCTTATTAACCAATACTTTAAGCATGTAAAAAGGGTATTAATTGATCAATTCGTACAAAAATGGCACAGTCAGCTTGAAAATTCATCTAAAGGTATAAACTATAGGCTATTTAAAAATGATATATCATTTGAAGCATATCTAAATATACTACCAAATAATCTAAGGTTCACTCTTTTCCATTTTAGAACAGGAAATCATAAATTACCTGTTGAAATAGGAAGGTGGCGCAACTCACATCTTCCATATGAAGCGCGTAAATGCAATCTTTGTATGTTAAATGAAGTCGGTGATGAATTTCACTATATGTTAGTGTGTCCTTTTTTCTGTTTGCAAAGAAAGCGATACATCCCAACTTACTTTTTCAGTAGACCAAACGTGTTGAAATTTAAGGAATTATTATCAACAGAAAATTTTGATCTTCTTTAAAAATATTGTATTTTTAGCACGTTCTATTATTGAACACTTTAAGACTAATAGCTAGAACAAGACAGGCCTAACGATTTTCTAAGTTAAATCCAAATGAATTCAAGTTCTTCCTCATTTTCATATATTGCTCCCTGACTATCTTAGTAACGAACGATTTAATATTTATAGCCTTTCTTAGCGGTTGTAAATATTTGCAATATCGTAGTATTGTCTATGTACGTGAAAAGCGTGCACCTGTAGTGACGTATTAGTATTTTCTCACGCCACCTGATATTCCTTTGCATTAGTTTTCATTAGTATGCAGGCCCGTCGTCACGATTTTGTGATTGGTGCGGCCAATTTGGTAGGTTTTAGGTAGAATCTAGGGGGGTACGGGGGCATGCTCCCCCGGAATTTTTTTTATTCTAGGATGGTCTCAGGGGCGTTTTCCCGTATATTTGGCACAATTTATATCCTGTCGCTAGAACATGTTATAGGTATGTCTTTATTCTTCTGAGCGCCGAGAATGTCCTTTCACTGGTAGCATTAGTAGCAGGCAACTAACAAAATCTTTAACAACACAACGACCTCAGAGAACAGTGCTCGTTCTAGCACCGACTGTTTTGACACAAATTTCAAAGCGTCAGGTAGAGTAACAGTACTATTTTCTGATTTGTCAAAATGTGAACGTAGCAGCTGAAGCTGCACCTCTAAGATCTCTCGGTAAATATCGTTGCCATAGAAATCACAAACAGAACCAAGTTTTCTAGTGAACGCGGTCTTCAAAGGTTGTGCGGCCTAAATAAGTAAATCCTCCACGTTCTAAGTACGCGATATCTCGGTTGGTCAAATCTCTCTTTAACACTGGCCATGGCAAGATCGATTGCTTCAAAATACTTAAATACTTAGGCCGGAACACGTCTTGCACTTTAATTATGTAATAGAGTAAATTGAATGAGTTTATTACTGAATTTATTTCAGGAGTTGAATGAAAATATATTATGCGAGCCTCTGGCGAGTATAATAATTTATTCAAAGATTTCAATAAATTCAGTAATGAGCTTACACGAATTTAATATTCTGTTTATCACTTACCAAATATAAGTAAAAAGTGAAAAAGAACCATTTTTCATTGACGCCCATAGAAAAACGCTAACATTTAGTGTGTATAACGCAAATGACGTCAAAATATATGCACGGAGTCGCAAAAACGGCACGGATATGTGATAAAAATATGACTTTTGAACGGTTGCCGTGTACAATCAATAAAATGTTATCAATTCAGGCATACTAGTTTAATATATTCATAATGCATATATGTATACATGTATATACGGTGAACTGTCCGAAGCCACGTCGATGTCAATTAACTTCACACTTATCTTCGGAGGACCCCTACATATACCTGGCCAATTAATAGTGCCCAGTTATTTCTTCGCGTCATGTTGTTTGTATGTAACCGTGTATTGCATAAGGGGCCAGTTAAGTGTCAAATTGCTAATCAGCGATGCGTGTTTTTTTGTTGTTGTTTTTTTTTTACTCATTTTTGGTCAAAATATTGGTCCGGCCAAGGCCGGACCGGCCGGACCATCGACGACGGCCTTGTATAGAGACATGTAAATAAATGGTCTTTCTCGTGCATTTACATATTTACTCGGATCATGCAAGTTTTCAAAATGTGAAGCCACTAAAGTCGGTGCTAGGGAGGGTAAGCCAAATAATCCGTAATATTTCTTCATGTAATAATTTATCAAACAACATTCGTAACATTTGAATCTTGGGTATTTTTGTAAATGTCCGTTATACAGTAAGCTAATGCTTGTTACATTATAAATATTTGAGCGTCAAAACATAAATTAATATATTATACATTGTATATCGCTATTGCACTATGTTGTATTAACATCGAATTCACAGTTACCTTCTCAGATAAAGTGACACATCACAAAAATAGATATGATTTGATCTTTACAAGAAAGCTGCGATATACATGTATATAATTTATTTCAGATTTCTACGTTATTTTTCTTCGTCTGACAACATCCCATTTAAAGCAGAATTTATATAAATTATAAAATAATGAAATATTACTGAATAGTTTCGCTGTAATTAAAACTATCACAAATAAAAGAATATGTATACAAAGGTCAACACGGCAGAACGACGTTCATGGAACGTAGTCCTCGAGACAATGTTCAGTCACGCAGGGCCATCAAAAACCGGCCATCCAGCGGGGAAATGTTTTACTCGTATAATATAATAATGACAATGTCTTTTTTTCTTCTGTATTTCAGTGGTTCAGACCAAACTTTTATATATTCTGGGTTGTGTTTTGGATGTTATTCTACACAGTTATGCTGTGTTTAGATATTCATTACAATCTTGGCCTGGATGGGGAATATTTCATCTATTTAACCAACTGGTCGTACTTAATTCAAGCAGCGCACGTGTTCATTGAATTCGGAGTGACTGTATTTACACAAACAAAACGTAAAGATATAAGAGATGGTAAGTGTATAATCGAGTTTAATCTTTTTTCTAATTTATTTTTCAAACATGATATACATGTACAAAATTCAAATCATAGTAACTAAATACATAAAAGGATAAATTTCAGATCAATGTAATAAAATTATGACAAATTTATTTGTATCTTCAGATCTTCTAATAAACAGTTTTTGAATAGAAGAAAATGAGTGCTAAGAAGTGCTAATAGTACGATATGAGTACGAGTATAATCTTAAAGAAACTCCCCTGAGAATTTTTTTTACATGATGAGACTGGAAATTTTATCTCGAGATTTTTATATTATTCAATACCAATAACTTGCGCGCAAAATTTCAGTTCATTCGCTTTCTCTTTTTTCTCAGAAGATTTTTTTACTGTGCAAAATAACCTAAATGAAAAGGGTTGAAACGCTTTTAACTCGAATAAGGCTAAAAGTTGCAGTAAATTTTCAATTTAATTAGTATACATTGTACTTTTTTATCATTTCTTTTCTCAAAGTTTTCTGTTTTTAACTGCCCACATTCATATATGTAAGATTTTATGTTTTAAGCTTTTTAACTTTAGTGGAGCTTTTATAAAGATTGATTAAGAAACAATTCTGTTCTCTCCATTTAACTGAATATTCTTTCTACAAAAAATAGTAATTATTATCTATATTAACACAATGTGTATTATTTGATATGCTACATGTTTGATATTTGATATGAATGCATTTTTACATTCTCCAAGTTTTCTCGACTGAACAAAACTAAAACGAAGGCTGTAAGAGTCACTAGACATGACCATAAAGAAAAGATAAGCGAAAAAAATAAAGCAACATTATCTTTGCGTAATGTTGGAATTCAACAAAAGTCGCATGTAATCTGAAGCTCAAAGTCCTGGACAAACAACAATGATTTAGGGCTTAAGCATATATCAATATAATATCATTTGTTTTGCTTAGTTGACTTTGAAAATGACAATCCTTCATAAGGACAAAACGTGATTAGACTTGCCCATACAAAATCGTTTTCCTCCCTGTCACGACTTTTGTGAGATTAACAATATTATTAGCAAGCATTGTCTGCATTATTATGAATTATTTACGTCACTATAAATGGACATAATCAGTATTTAGTAAAAAGTCGAGCCACGCCCACCATCGGGTTCCACTGCAAATATTTCATTATACCGTATAGTTATTTTAGTTCATTGTTTTTTCAAATCGATGGCGAAACAAGTTCTTGCAGCTTATTTTCATCACTTTAGAGTCGGCTTCTTGGAAATAACCTGTACTGGATTCATATGAGAAAATATGGTCGTGACTATGGTAGGGCTCAAACCCATGATATCTGTGTTGAGCTGCAAAAAGCTTTACCACTTGGCCACCGCTCCCGTTACTGTATATATCGTATACAACGACCGAGTGGTTCACACCATGTTGTCAATAACTTTTAAATAATACCATTCCCACGATAAAATAGGATTACACTCGTCTTAGGAAGGAATTAGTTTAGTTACTTTACGCGTCAATCAATTCCAATTAAAATATTATTGTAATAATAAACAATATCGAATTGGCTAATTGGCTAATTACTTTTCACTAAAAA